AAAAAAAAAAAAAAAAAAAAACATAATTTACTAAATAAACTTTAATTAAATGGTTAAGGTGTTTGTTTTGTTCAGATAAGCCAGAAAAAAAAATGTTACATCTTTTTTTGACTGTTTGGGAAATTGGGAAGACCCATCTAGATATTTTCAGCTGAAATATGGATACAATTTAGATATAGGCCTAACATGCAAAGTTGTAATTATATATGAATCAAAGATTATTTCTGTTAACTTTATGGTGAATCTTATGGTTTCATATGGTACATTTTATATACATAAAAGTATATAATCTTGATTTATCTGTAAATTTGTTTGTGAAGCACTTAAAGAAATTTAATTGGTAAAGAACTTGTCTAAAAAAAAGAAAGAAAATTATATGTGTGTATTTTTCAAAAGCTTGGAGGCTTTTGAGATGTAATTTTCTTCCTGGAAAGTTACCAATTAAATCTCATTTCACCAGCAATGCTATTCATTACTTGAATAAATCTGTTCTATGATGGTGGAAACATTCTGTCTTATGAAGACTTTATGCGTTTTTACAACTTTCCCATTCCCTGTAAAGAATTTCAACAAGTTGTTAAAGCTATTCTAAATGAGTGGATACACTTTATAAATAATCATCTTACTTTTGGAAGCAATGAAAGGATTCTTCCAGAGTTAATAGTATTGAAATATTTACTTCCTCTTTTAATAATAAAAAATTAGTCACATTTTTTCATAAATATATAAGTATAGACCACCGCTGTAGTCCTTGATTTTGTCCTATAAGGAAGATCATTATATTGTTTAGTTGTTTATATGTGTTTTTATTCTTATTTCTTCTCTTAAATGCTGTCTTACAGAACATTCTTTCTTGTGTATGTGGATTTAATTGTTAAAATGTATTGTAATCTTCAATCATTTCTTCAATAAAAAATAAAATCATAATTTAATAAGAATAAATTCTGGGATGATTCAAGCTCTTTCATTTTCAGCCCAACAGAAGTTAATTACTCCTTGATGACACTTATTATAAGAGCACTAATCATCTATCTATTGTATCTAATATGTTGCCACATTCTTTATATTATAGTCTAGGGAAAAAATTAATTCACAAGCAGAAAAGATCAGATTCTTCTTTGTCTTGTCTTCTAACGTTTCTTCTTGAATTCTTGTACAATAACAGATTTTTAGCTAGATTTTTAGGCTTTATGAGAGTTCATAAAAAAAAAGTGATTTAGCTTTACTCATGTATTTTTGCATATGTTTTTTTTTTTCTGGAGACATTTCTCTCTGTCATTCTTATTTCATATGAATCATATGAGATACAAGTATTATCTCCTTCCCTAAAGGAGAGAGAGAGAGAGAGAGAGAGAAAGAGATAATAGGGTGAGGAATCATTTATTTTAGTGTAGTCAAAATTTTGGTTTCCTTATTTATTTGGCCCAAGTAATTATAGTTAGTCCCTGAAAGATACTATATGTGTCAATACCAATGAGAACAAGGTCGTAGGTTATGTGGTATAATATCCACAAACTAACAGGTGCTGTGAAAATATTTCACATTCATAGTCGTTGAAATTAAATAAATGAAAATACACCTTAAAATATATTGTTTAATCAATGTTTGTCTAATCATTTTCTAAGATTTTATGCTCTTACAATAACTTTTATATTGTATCCATTTTATTTTATATTTTACATTTACTAGTGTTTATTCTTTTTAAATAATAATTAGTAGTAATTGTCGTATACAATCCATTTATTTTACCATTTTATGATCTGGGACATAAAAAATTATTAACAATTTTTAAATTATTTATTTATCTGTCATTTCTTCTAAATGGTCTTTGGAGTCTGATTACCTTCTGGCAAAAAAAGAGAGATTAAAAAGGTATTATATAAATGCTGTTCTGACATTTACCTCTGACAATTTATGTGGAAAAATATGAATAAATTCAGTAAGGAAGTCTGCATAGTTTGTCATCTATAAACCATCTAGAAAACCCTGGCAAACACCCAGAACACCCTGCATGGCAACAACATAGCTTATTAATCTTCAAATCTCTCTTCAGGCCGAGTATTCAGACTACACATGACTGCATATAGAGGTTTTTTTGTTTTGTTTCAGGAGAATTTTAGGGAAAAATCACAGGGTCCCAATGTCTCAGTGCTGTGATGGCATTCTTTATGACTGGAGTCACTCATTGACTTCAGATGTTTATTTTCTCTTACCTAGTAGGATGGACCTTATAATTCATGCACATTGAGAGCCAATAAAAACTGGTGGGAGGAACCCAAGGGTTTTATATGAGGGTGTTTTTTTTTTTCAATATAGAGGTCAGCACAGTGAGAAGGGAACACTGCAGTGCATTGACAAACATAGAGAGAAGCAGCAATGCTTTGCCAGGAAAACACTATTCACTATTGTAGCTGGACATTTGTAGTCGGTGGAGTGCTTTACCTTCTGCGGCAAATTACCACGCACACACCGTACGGACGTTATGTGGACACAAAATCCCCCGGGATGACGGTCCCAGCCAAGGCAGGGTGGTTTATTCAGGAGCTTCCATCATTCCTTGTTCCTGTGCTGTTGTTTTTGACGACAGAAAGTTTGCCGGGGATAGGAAGACATTTTCTGCTCTGGACCTTTTGCTTGCACTACTTTCAGAGGTAACATCGTTCATATTTCACATATAGTGCTTTAATTAGTGCATTAATGCCAACAATAGCATATCAAGCACACTGGCAAGGAACTTTTCTAAGAATGTTCAAGAGAAGTACAGCTGTATCAGATTAACACACTAAACGCGGTTTTGTTCTTGTGGTTCATGCAATAGGAAAGTAGACTAAGTGGTGCATAAAGTAGAATCACTAAAGTGTTGTAAAATGTACTGATAATTATACTAAAAGTATAATGGGTCACAATCTTAAATTCAATATGCAAAACATAATATATAATAGCCTGTAATATACTGAATAAGATAAAAAAAATATATATATTTTGTGAGGCTGACACTTGTTTTATGTTGATTTTTATAATATAGGGCTAGTTGAAAATAGCTGTTTGCAGGGCTGGATTTACGCATAGGCATTCTAGGCACGTGCCTATCCTCGCTCGTCCATGGGGGCCCAAACACAATGAAGAGATATATAATATTTTTTGTTATACTATGGGATATCTACAACAGTAAAATAACCAAAACTCCACAAGACATTGAGCAAATAAATATAACAAACAATAGGGTAAAAATGACAAACTATTTCCATGTCTTCAACCTTTTTTATGTACGGAAATCACGCTTTTCTCCTCTCACAGACACACACACACACACACACACACAGTACAGACACGCACTCGCGCACGCACGCGGAGACGCGAACAGAAACTCGTTGTCAGAGCTGCGCGGCTGCCCCGCGAATTTATCAATAAAATAGTTTTGCAGCTGAAAAGCTATACATGACATTTCTCAGTAGCGAGGTTCTTGAAGCAGTTCAACTTAAAGATTCGCTATTAGTAGATGCTGCTGTTGAATACTGCTGAGAGACGCACAGAAGCACGTATTCACACGCACTTAATCTCTCTCTCTCTCACCTTCTCTCTCTCTCTCGCTCTCTCTCTCTCTAATAACTGCGTTAGACTGCATTAATAACTGGTTAGCCTGCATATTAGGCTTGCCGCTATAGACGGTGATACCGCGGTGTTAAGCCGCAACACCGGTTACGCCACTTGCCCACCGCGATGATTTAGTTTCGAAACGAAATGCAAAAGCGCCTGTTTGGCAGTATTTTGGTTTTTGAAAAGCCTGTTGACTTTTGCCGTTTATCTAAGGTGATTTTGGAAGTTTTTTTTAAACATTCGTTTCTTATTTAATTGGTTCCACATTGTTTGCTGATTTTTACTTTATTTAAACTTTGTGCCATTTATTTATGTTATTTGACATCAAGGTGTATGCCCTGCCTCCAAGCTTTCTTACTCGTTTTGCTAATAAACGTTCTACTTATTTATTTGGTTATATATTATACTTGACTTAGGCCTAGCCTATTTCCAGTTCTGTATACCTCTTTAAACTTTATGGAAGTTATTTGTTATTTTATTTTAGGCATTGCCTGCCCTATAGCATGGTGTATTTTTATTTGTTTTGTTCATAAAAGTTATATGTTTTATATATAGGCTAAAG